CCCCCCCTCGCTGCAGGATAAGGAGGCCCTGCAGCAGCAGCTGTATGAACACATGCTGCAGATGTCTGCCCTGCAGGCCAAGCTGGACGACAAGAAACACGGGCAGGAGGTGGCTGACTCCTGGGTGGCACAGCTGCAGGAACAACTCAAGGTGGAGAAGGAAGCCCTCAACAGGAAGGAGAGAGAGGTGGGCTTGTTAGAGGCTTTTGTGATGTTTGTTTGTTTGAGATTAGTAAAATTCTTCACTATTCTTCGTATAAAGTTTGTAGTGAATCACCAGGTAGTAGTACAAATTACCACAATGTATTAATTTTGGACCATTTCATACCTCAACATGTCCGTACTCTTTTTTGAAAGTTGTGGTGGGTTCGAAAAATTCTTTAATGTGCGTGGTGCACATGTGTGGCTCTCCCCAAACACGGGACCTCTATTTTACGTCCTATTCGAGGGATGTCCCTAACTGAAGCTACAATCATGTAGTTACACATTTTCTCTTGAGTGAAGTAAGGAAAGTCATATATAAGCACAATCAGAGGCTTATACTGACATAATATCAACCAGGAATTTGATACTGTTATGACCAACATTGATCTTGAGATTAATTGAAATGAGTGTATTTGGCACAGTGACTGTAACTTCTGCAAGTCATGTTTCTGTGTGAAACTTATACATGTACTAGGAGATGCTAGGTTACCTGATTCAAAAGTAGTCACAGCTACTGATATCAATGGACAGCCTAGCTTTTGGCTTACACTGTTGGTTGCCTAGTGGGCAACCTGAGAAAGAAGTTATGTTAATATTTCGACCATGTTGTGGATCATGATGAATGTGCCACTGACAGGTATTAAACATTTCTATTAGGGTGATGTCTGTGTGCTACAATGTATCTTATCTCTTCAATTGGTAATCTTTATCTTGTGCCATCGTGTGGCACAGTCGGTAGTGCGTTCGACTCACACCCAAGAGGTCGCGGGTTTGAATCCTGCCCATGTCACCGATCTTGTGCCCTTGGGAAAGGCACTTCATACGACTTTCCTCTCTTCATCGCACTCAGGTGGAAATGAGTACCTAGCTTCGGTTAGCGATGTCCCTCTGATAGGACGTTATATGGAGGTCCCATGTTTGGGGAGAGCCACACCCCACGCACGTTAAAGAACCCAGCGCACTTACCGAAAAGAGTAGGGGATCTTCCCGGTGAGAGTGGTTCAAACCTTACAGTCCAGTCTTACGCATTTTGTACATGTACGTACATGTACAACTGGTGTGTTACGTCTAAAGGTGGTTTACCGGTTATACGAAACAAACAAACAATTTGATGTAACTTGTTAATTTGCCCATGTCCACAGATGGGGAACCTGGTGGAGCAGTTGGAGCAGTTCCGGGAGGATCTGGTGGATAAGGAGGAGGAGATCCAGAGACTGAACATGGAGATCCAGATCCAGCAGAGGGAGATCAGCGCTCACACAGACGTGGATCAGCAGACAGCAGAGATACTGGAGGAAAACGCCAACCTCAAGGTCAGGACAACTTCAAGTGCACATTACTGTGGTCAACTTTTGAAGTTTCATGGTGTCTTTCTTCAGTAGTCTGGTTAGTGTAAAATTAGGGCCACTTGTGACCTCATGATCAAATCTTCAAGCCAGTGCTACATTTGTGTACCTGTAGTTATATGACTGAGATTTAATGAATATATATTTATAGTGGCTCTAATTTAAACCAGTTCAGCCCTTGTCTATATTATATGTACAATGTAGGTATGACATTGTGTTCTGTCACTACTGAGTACTGAAAGACTTGGTCCCATTTTATAACTACCTCACACTTTGTATGAAAACAAGAAAACTAACTCTTCTTTGCCATATAAACCCACATTTACTGGTTTATCATACTGGCAGTTTACTAAGTCACTCCTGGCAATGATATTCCAACCATTCGTGATACATTATAGTGCCCTTCACCGTTTCTATCACCTGTTGTCGATTTTGTATGGATGCGCTGTAAATAGTTTTAGCACAATTTTTAAATCCGTTATGCTATATTATAATGTAAATTATGTTTTTAATCACGTCCATCCAAATTGTAATTGTTCTGACACAATTCAGCCATCTTACATGTAGCTGCAATGTTGGTGACAATGTTGTTGAAATAAACCAATTTGATATTTCTTGCTTTCCAGTCAGCGCTGAAGACCCTACAGGACCAGTCTGAGCAGGACCTGTCCCTGCCTCGCTATGCCCAGGACCTGCTGCAGGAGAAGAACTCTGAGATCGACCACCTGAATGAGCAGATAAAACAACTCCGAGATGACATGAACCAACTTCCTGAGGCTGATACAACAAGCACTGCTGCCCAGACAGAGGACTCAAGTGTGGAGGTCAGAGTTTGTTTGTTATTAATGATAAAATTTAATGTTTTTTATTAGTACCCTTGCAGTCGCAGCCTTTATTCGGCTGAATTGATGCAGGGTATCACATAATAATAAATACAAATCACAACAATCAATAATACACGACGCACATATTTACTCCACAGATTTTTTTGTGGAACTGTCGCAAGGGTCTGTGCGGCTGCCATTCGGCACCACAAGGTGACCTCAAAACGACTTTCCCCAACCGAAGTTAGGTACCCATTCACACCTAGGAGTAGTGAGGAAAGTTGTGTAAAGTGCCTTTTCCAAGAACACAACGTAGGGCACATGTCCAGAAATGTCCCGGGTACGACTCAGGATCGAACCCGGGTCTCCCGGTTCACAGTCGAATGATCTACCACTACGCCACCCGGTGCCACACTATTCTTCCTGGAGTGTGCAGTGTATCACCAACTTCCAGATAGTAGTATTTGGACCATTACACACCGTGCCCCTACTATTTTGTTAAAGGTGTATTTTAGGGGTACTTAAAACATGCGTAGGGTGTGGCTCTCCCCAAACACAGGACCTCCATTTATCGTCCTATCCGAGGGACATTTCTAATCCTCATTTTCACTTGAATGAAGTGAGAAAAGTTGTGCACAATGCTGGGGCATGTCAGGGATAGCCATATTGTTACAACCTAACTTAAGGGCCATGCAGAAACAAAAACACACACACTCACACACACACACACACCCAAAGCAATACAGCTAACTGTAATTATTATTCCTGTTTTTTTTTCACTGTACTGTTATGTTCACGGTTTTCACCGTCACTTCTGTACCTTGAACTTATTGTAACAGTTAACAAATAATTCCTTGACTTTTTTTTTTCCTGCACCTGTCACCACCGTGAACATGTAGTGCTGTGAACATGTCCATTTTTCTCAGACCGTGAACTTTTGCTACTGTCAACATTTAGTGAATTACAGTACCTCCATATTTCCTGGAGGTAATTCACAGAAATAACTGTTACAGTAACTGTTGTGCTGATTCCTCTCTACAGGACCAGGATGACCAGGAAGTTCTCCTAGACCAGAAGGAGGAGGAGATTTCTGCCCTGAGAGTGGAGCTGTTGAACATGAGGAACAGAGACCCACTCCTGGAACCTGTGGTACAACATGCCATGGAGAGGAGCAACCAGGAATATGAACAAGCCAAGGTGAGGGGAGGAAGTGAGAACTGCTTGTTGAACTCTCAAGTACACAGTCATGTACAAGGGACAGCAGCAGTTCCTAGACTTACCATGATTATTGAGGTAGTTTTTACTAGTAGTTTCTTAGTTATCAGTAGTTCTATGTGTACTAATTGTCTGTTTTTATTATACCGTATAGTCCTATGTTCCTGCAATTAGCCCTCGGGCACGAATTTGCAATAAAACAATTATTTATTGATTCTTTTTTACAGTCATAACAGTGACCCTTAGGAGTCTTTGTCATGTTCAACTGTTTTTGCCAGTTCCCTTACAGTGTTGACTACAAAATGTAGTTCTGTCAGTTCATTTTTATATAATTAGTGATGCTGAGGAAGAGTGACAGATGTCACTTGAAACCTCTAGAAGTAATTATGTCCAGTTACTGTTAGTAGTACAGTTTGAATTGTCTTTGAATATACCTGGATGTCTTAAACCTTCATCAACGTGTCTAAAAATGTGAATTATACTGTATATTAACTATATATACAGTAAATTGGTTAACATCAATTGACTAAGTCTTATATGTTGCGTGAACCAGGCACAGCTACAAGAAGATATCAGAAAGATGGAAGATCAACTCAGAACTCAACAGAAAGACATGGAATCTTTGAAGCAGCAGTTATTAGGGGACCAGGAAGAGGAGGCTGCAGTGATGCAGCAAGAGATGACTGCAGCGCAGCAAGAGAGAGTTGCTGCTGAGGAGGCAAGAACTGCTGCAGAGGAAATAATGGCTGCAGCACAACAAGAGAGAGCTGTAGCAGCAGAACAGAACATTGCTGCACAACAGGAGAGAGCTGCAGCAGAGGAAGCAAAGACTGCTGCACAGCAGGAAAGAGCTGCAGCAGAACAGGAGAGAGCTGCAGCAGAAGAACAGAACATTGCTGCACAGCAGGATAGAGCTGCAGCAGAACAAGAGAGAGCTGCAGCAGAACAACAGAATATTGCAGCACAGCAGGAGAGAGCTGCAGCAGAGGATGCAAAGACTGCTGCACAGCAAGAAAAAGCTGCAGCTGAAGAACAGAACATTGCTGCACAGCAGGATAGAGCTGCAGCAGAACAAGAGAGAGCTGCAGCAGAACAACAGAATATTGCAGCACAGCAGGAGAGAGCTGCAGCAGAGGAAGCAAAAGCTGCAGCAATACAGGAGAGAGCTGGAACCAAAGAGGATAAAGCTATAGCAGAAAAGGAGAAACTCTCAACTCCATCAGAGAGATTGCTAGACCAAGACCAAGAACTGATGGGTGAACAGCTTATGAAAAAGGATGAAGAGCTAGAACAGCTTAAAGAAAATATCAGTCAGCTTCAGAGACAGCTTGAGAGTACAGAAAATCAACTGATGAGTCGCAGTAAGGATGTTACAAAGCTGGAAGAAGAAGTGTCTTCTCTCCAACAGGTGCTGTCCACAGCTGGGCAGGTGGCAGCTGCAGGGAGACAGCTGCAGGAGGATGATCATACAGACCACCCTACCATTACAGATGACAGGATGGCTCAACTACAGGTAAGACTTACATGTAAAACTATGTCTTCAAGAAATTTTTGGCAGAATTATGTAGGAGTCCTGCTACTGTATATTCGCATGAAGGTTCATCTGTCAGATGTCTGATCAAAGTTACATATTAAATTAAAATAAAATAATATAAAATATTAAACTGTTCCCTACTCCAAAAAAATTCACCAGAATTTTTGACCGAATCGCTTGGTCTTGATCAGATATCTGACCCTAGACCTAAGTGCTGTAGACACGTGATTTTTCCACACGTGTAACATCAGCACTGGGTCAAATTTTGCCTGAAGTCAGTGCGGAAAAATTATGTATCTACAATACTTGGGTCAGATAGCTGATGAAGACCGAGAGATTCAGTCAAAACTTCTGGTGAGTCAAATTCTTATTGAGCTGGTGAACAGCTTAATTTCATATAATATGTTCATCTCTTGAAGATATAATTTAACTGGAGCTACCAATTTGGCTTGTAGATACAATGATTCAGTTACATGCTTACAAAAGAGGTACTTTGTAAAATGTTTAATGTGTTAACTGCTTTCCAAACCAAACTGATAGAACTACTGCCTAGTATAGGAATGATTAAGAATTAGCATCATCTTACGAAAGGTAAAACAAAAAGGATAGAGACTGTTGTATTGTTCCTGCAGGCAGAACTCACCTCCCAGGCTCAGAGACATGAAGAAGAAGTCGTCCTGCTGAAAAGCAGTCTTCAAACTGAAATGGAGAAGGTTAAAGAACAGCTGAGAGAGGAGTACAGGGCACGACTAGAGAACATCCGTGTGTCTACACAGGGCAGGGCTCTCAAACAGGTAAACATATGGTACACAAGTCATGTATACTTATCTTGAAAGTTCATCTGTGTTGGTAGAAGTCATTATGCAGCAAGATTAAACTGTAATTTCCAACACAAGAAGTGGTGGATTGTTCATTCCTTGACTGACAAAGACTGGAGTTGTACAGTCAAAAATTTGGGTGAGTCCAATTTCTTGTGTTGGAAATTACAGGTTAATCTTGCTGCATAAGTCATGTATTATACATGCACGTTCACACTTCAGAGCTCAAAATACTGGGTGCATGTCTACCTTAGTGCACCCAAATTTGGAGCTGTGCACCTAATGTTTTTCTGTGGGTGCACCAGTGCACCCAAATATTTTTTTTTATTAGGACTGGTGTGCAAAGATTGTACAATGTATAGCTGTAGAATACAGCTTCATATTCTTAACATCCAAGTGTCAGGAAAAATAAAATCAATGACATTTAATATTATATAATCAAAGTACTTTTCTTTACAAATGAAACATATTAGTTTTTGCTGACATTCCACATTCTATGTTATATCATGGTGGACCCAATTTTTAGGTTGGGTGCGCCATGCAGTGCACTTACATGTATTCCCCCCAAAGAATTTTGAGTCCTGCATTCTGATTCTTTGGTTAAATCATTCCACAATTAATGACTTTTGCCCCAGACATATCAGGTTGAATCAAATGATTGTGATTTTTCTGACATATACGTACCGCGTGAGTACCGCGTGAGTTACGCGTTACCCGTTAATTCTAACGCAAGCTGTACTGTATGGTTGGCGCACACAGTCCACACAAGGCACACTAAGCACTGGTACCACCACAAAATACTAATAAAGAATGCAATGTGTTTTCAGCTTTTAAACACTTGTAAGTCATCTTATTTTGGCACCTCCATTTCCTGAATGACATTTATTTGCACTGGAGTGGAGTTGATTCAGCTTACTAGTACTGCAGCTTTAACAGACGTTAACCTGGCTGGTGTGTTCTAACAGAAACTGGATGAGATCCGTGCTGAGCTGACCTGGCAGCATCAGCAGCACATCAGGGACATCCAGGACAACGCTGAGAGAGATGCACAGATGAGGGTGGAGGAGCTGGAACTCAGACACAGGTGGGACTAGAGTTTCAGACAGTAACGTCCCGCTCACACATAGCTGAATATGCTCTCCAAGCAGAGGTTAGGGTTTTGGGTTAATTTTTGCGTGTTTCTAAACTTTTATCGGGATTTCTTTTTTTTTGCACTGGAATTTTCCTTTCACCCAACCTCTGCCGGCAGTTGAAAGCATCAATACGTCAACACATAACAGTCGTTCTGCAAGGTGTGAACCAGACGCATGAATAGGCACAGTCAGCAGGAGGCGTGTGGCCGAATGAATGTCTTAAAAGTTTCTGACTGGCTAGATGTGTGATAATCCACCACTGTAAATAGATATCCCCAATGATAATTTGATGGTTCCCGGGGAGGAGCACTGTCGCGTTTCCTGAATAGGTTTGCCCCGCCCCGGGGTGAGTGCCGGCAGAGATTGGGTTGGGTAAAAGAAAAATTCCAGTGCAAAAAAGAAACCCCGATAAAAAAGCCTAAAAACATGCCAAAAATAACCCCAAACCCTAACCTCTGCTCGAAGAGTAAGCTGAATACACTGCCCAACCCCTCCAACTGTGGTTAGGAGTATAGGTTAGGAGAAAGGTTGAGGTTCAGCGAAGTCGGCTAATGTTCGGCAGCGCCGGCCAAATAATGTAGTTCAAAAGGTTTAAAACATTTGGGTTTGGACGGGAGGTTCAGTTGTGGCAGTGCAAGGTAAGGAAAATCATTTATGATTAGAATTACAGTCCAATTTTGTATGGTCAGGTTCTCCATTTACTGATAAATGGAAGTACTTGACTTGTATCTAATTATCCTTTTATTCTGTCTCAGAAAAGGCCAATGGTCCAAACTTGTTGACAAGTTCTGTAGCTTTGGATACTCCTGTTTTGTTAGCTTTGCACATTTTTCTTCCCAAAGCCATGAACATTCTTCTTCCTTGCCCAATACTGTGAGCTTTTCATGTAGTCGCAAAATAGAGATAGTGAAGCACTTAAAATGTTTTAAAGTTTTTTTTTTTTAATTGACTGAGTGAAAAATTTCAGGGAGCACATAGAAGAGTTACAGCGTCAGTACAGGAGAGGGCAGAAGGAAGGTTTGGTGGAGCCGGACAGACAGCAGACAGACGTGCTGTACAGACTGGACAGTCAGCACGGTGCTGTCACAGACAGGAGCAGCAGCAGTAGAGGCAGACAGCTCATGTTATGTCATGGTAAATGTGAAATCAAAGCTGAAGGAGAAAAATTGAAAGTCTAAGACAGTCACCATGGTTAGGCCGCACCAATTTAATTCTTGGTTAATGGATTCACCTTCTTCATTTTTTCTGATTTGACAAAAAATAAAAATTCAGAATCAACTGCAAAATGCTCATATTTTGCCCTGAACAGTTGAAAACAGTCCTTTTCTTCCTAGTTGTTACAATTATTTCATCTTTCAAAGCAATTGTATCATTAAAAGTTCAAAATTCATTGTTTAAATTTTGAACCAGCCTGGTGTGTTGACTTCATGGCTCCCATTGTATCATTTTGGGCCATAATAGGATGCCTATATTGGCCTTTTTTTTTTGCCCGCCTGCTACATTATTTTTCTAGAAAAATCCGTTAACCAAGAAATTAAATTGGTGTGGCCTAACCATGGATTTGAAAAAAAATCTTTAAAAAGATGAAACCAAATTTAATGGCCATTCAAAATGTCAGTAAACTTTGGTAGGGCTACACTTACAAAATGTAGTTTATTTTGTTGATTCTCAGATGTTTAGATATCATTGATNGGTTAGTGGTGCCCTGGAGTCAGAGAAGTCCCATGTGAAGTCCTGTAATGTTTGTATGTCTGTTGTGGTTAGTGGTGCCCTGGAGTCCGAGAAGTCCCATGTGAAGTCCTGTAATTCAGGGAGCACATAGAAGAGTTACAGCGTCAGTACAGGACAGACAGCAGACAGACGTGCTGTACAGGCTGGACAGTCAGCACGGTGCTGTCACAGACAGGAGCAGCAGCAGTAGAGGTCAGACAGCTCATGTTATGTCATGGTAAATGTGAAATCAAAGCTGAATGAGAAAAATTGTGAGTCTAAGATGGTCACCATGGTTACAGAATCAACTGCAAAATGCTCATAGCCCTGAACAGTTGCGTCCGCCAGTTGTTACAATTATCCCATCTTTCAACGCAATGGTATCATTAAAAGTTCAAAATTCATTGTTTAAATTTTGAACCAGCCTGGTGTGTTGACTTCATGGCTCCCATCGTATCATTTTGGGCCATAATAGGATGCCTATATATATATATATATATATATATAGGCCGTTTTCTTTCTTTTTTTCGCCCACCCGCTCCATTATTTTTCTAGAAAAATCCGTTAACCAAGAAATTAAATTGGTGTGGCCTAATCATGGATTTGAAGAAAAAAATCTTTACAAAGATGAAACCAAAGGGAAAATAGCCATTCAAAATGAGGTCAGTAAACTTTTGGTAGGGGCTACACTTACAAAATGTAGTTTATTTTGTTGATTCTGAGAATTAGATTGATGGTTAACTGACAGAACAGAGTAACAAATATAAAGAACCTGGAGAGGAGAAAGTTTATTATAATCAATTATTGCACACACAGTTCCAGGTAATGAGTATTAAGTATCACCCAATTGTGTGAAGTACTGTATGATTTGACTAAAAATCTTCCACAAACCATCAAAATAAGTTTATAGGAGTGATAATCATTGTAACTGTAGGCCTCTTTACTTGGGTTTGAATCAAATGTTAGAAACATGTGGAAGTACTGAAGGATAATACTTTCAGCACCAAAGACAGACACAGTAGTGGTCACTTCTGATCAGCATTTCTCTTCTCTTCATCCATTGTTACAAGTGCGGCTACAGAGTGACATAAATGTTACTTTTTTTTATCGATTATTGGAGTCTTACCAGGTATTGTGGCAAATATTTTTTAAATATTTTAAATATTTTTAAATATCACTGTAGCATGGATCATTAATAATTGCTTCTTTCTAAGAGGGAAAAAAATAGGTAGGTTGGAAGTAAAAGAGTAAATGTTGATGAAAATCGAGGTAAGCAATATCAGTTCAAACTCTACTACTGGATAAGTTACTTACTACTACTAGATAACTTCCAGACATTTTGAGTGACATTTGTCACTCTTTTTCAGTGTGTCTAATTATGAATAAAACTGAGAGAACTAGTCAACACTTATCACAATGTAAAAGAACTGGAAAAACCGGTTGAATGTATGAAAGGCTTGTAAGTGTATTGATATGTAAATCAAGGTGTGACTTTAGATCCACTGGTAGATTTCCTTCTTACAAGTACATGTAACTCCATGACTGTTCAAACCATTGTGGTTCATGGTTGAGAATGTCTGTTGCCTCCAGTCTGAAATTATGTTCCAGATGCATTGATGAAGGTTAGACATCCAGGTAATGACAGAGATACACAAGGAATTGTTACAAGCAACTAACGGGCACTGATGAAAAATAGTTAATGCAGCTTGAAATGTCTAAGTATCGGTTTTCAAAATTTGTAGAGCTGCTTGAATAAATTTCCTGGTCAATGTCCCTAATGATGCCATGTACAGTAGATGGCAGATCATGTTGACTAGTTCTGTTAGTATGTTTAGTAGTGCTGTGTACCTAAACCCACATTTAGGTTCAGGTGCGGATTCAAGTCCAGAGGTTTAGGTTCAGTTCCGGACTCATAAGTCCGGACCTTAACCCACAATTGCATGTTGGCAACCTTGCAAAGTTGTCTGGGTGAAACTGTGGTCACATAACATGGAGGCCGGTACTTGACAATGCCTGATGGCAATGTTTTCTTCATTTTGCAGCAGAGATTTTGCAACCTATGGCTTTAGGTAGTTTGGAAAGAAAAGGGGTATGTGATGTGTTGACCAGTTCTTGACTTTTAGGTTTTTTTTGAACTTGAACCTAAGAACAGAACAGGTCCAGCGAACCGGTACACAGCACTAATGTTTAGCCACGCTAAAGAAGAGTACATATCAAAATGTCCAAAAGTAACCTCCGTAAGCTATCCAGTATATAGTAGCTTGAGTTTAAGTAAAACTAAAAGAATACCTTTGTTCTGTTGTAGGCAGCGTTGTGCAGTAGAGGCATCAAAATAGGAACACGATTGTAGTGCCTAGTTAATACCTTTGAAAATCGCTCCTTTTTTTCTCTTGAAAGTTTTGGTCCATTTTGGAGATTTGGGGGCTGGAAGGCACAGGTAGGGTCTAAACTTTCCTACTTTGGTCAAGTTTTGTTTATTTCACCAGTTTAGTGGGTGTAATGAGAGATGTGAGTGGTTAGGTCTTGTCTGGCCAGGCGGATGGATACAATGGAAAATTAGGTCAAAGTTGAAGTTTTGTTACTACCATCAGCTGTGGCGGGAATTTGACCTGGTCGACCCCGTTTCCTTTCGATATTCGGGAATCAGACCCTTGTGGCTACTTGGTGCAGAAAAATTTTTGAGATTAAAGTATGGGCAAGTACTTTCATGAGGACTTCTAATAGTGTATTTAAGCATGTGTTCCTATGGCCAAATCTAATAATACTGTCTGCCCTTGTGTTATATTTGCAGCCTCTCCCACCATGTACACCCCTGCTGGTTCAGAGCTGGGCCACAGACTGCAGGATGAGATTGATGCCACGGAGCGGTTAGATACTAACCTGGTGAACCAGCTGAGACAGAGGCAGCAGGGAGTAGGGCAGGACCACAGTGACTCTGAAGTGGACGATATCGTGTCTACAAGACTGGAGGTAAGGAGGACTGAGTTCCACAGTGCATTTGTTTGTTTTTTATCATATTTCACCAGGGAAAACTTTCTGCCTTCCTGCATTTTTCAATGTTCCCTGGAGGGGGGGGGGACCTAGACATAAATTATAAAATCATCGATAACGGCTATTCCGAGATCAGGGTGCGCCAAAGGGTTGCACTTGGGCCAATTTTTCAAGTTTTATATTTTTCTACTTTCAGTGCAGAAAATCGCACTAGAGGTGTTACCATACATTGCACAGGATAGAGACGTTCAGTTCAAAAGTTGTGCTCTTCCAAACTTTAGCCCACTCATTTCAGATGTGGCCGGCAACGGACACTACAGCTCTTGCAAGACCTGTCATTTAGGGGTTGACAAAATGCTACAGAAATAACATAAATGAAAAAATTACTTCAAAATTGCAACAAAATGTAATTAATGTACCTATATGGTATACTTGGCAACGGACACTACATGGCAACGGACACTACACCCTTGAGGTTTTTTGACATTATTTCATATAATTACAGCAATAGACTGAAATAGCTACTGTGTTTTAAGTCAGCATCTTCAGCTGTTTCAAAACCTGAAATCATATGCACCCACAGCTTTCAAAGTTATACATAACGTGTACAACATATTGATAAATACGCTCTAGATCAGACTGAGCATGTCTGAACATATTGCAAATCTTTTCATTCCATTTTTTGTTCCCAAATTACTTAAAAGCATATTTCAAAAACTGGCATTTTTCAAGTGCAACAGCATAACGTAGATTTTATGCCAATTTCTGGTCTTAAATTGGCCATAGCATAAGTTTTAAACATCTTAACACCAAATCTCTTCCTGATTGTCTGGAAAATAACTGCACTAGTATAACAAGTTTGATAAATGTCAACAGAATGCGATAAATTCAGAGTAAGATTGACATAACGATGCACGATGCCATTGGCGCACCCTGATCTCGGAATAGCCGATAACAAGAAATAACAAACTGTTCAACTTCATGCCTATCATACAGATGTATGTCGATACACATCCAAAGTAAATTAGAGATAATATATCCCCAACTAAAGCAAACAAAGTTATGTTTACAAAATAAGTAAAACAAGAATTATTATATAATAAAACACAATACAAGGTCAAGTATATAGTAGAGGGGATTCATTCCTCAAGCTAACCAACATCTTGCACACGCAGTCGTCCCTCAGTAAGACATCTGCACCCGCATAGTTCCTGTTTAGAACTTTTATTCATCCTGCATGTCACATGACCGGTTTCGCCTGTGTGGCTTCTTCAAGTGTACAGAGGCTAATGACACAAGTGCATGAAGTTCTCACTTATATACCTTTCCAGTGCATAGTGCATCCATCCATTAAGAAGTATGCAGTATATAGTAATACAAGGTCAAGCGTAATGATATGTAATCAAAGAAATTTGCATATCGATGTTCCACAAGAAGGCATTCAAGTTCATATAATTGCTGTAGTGTTCTGGTTGATTTCAAACAATGTGGTAGACGTGTATGTGAGATTTTCAGTGTAATACACCAAGAAGGTACATGTACATGTACAAGCCCCAAACCCTGTGTGTTGACCTTGTATTGTAGGGGCTGGTGCGGAGGTTACACACAGAGGGAAGTAAAGTCCTGTCCCTGTCAGAGCTACAGTTTATCCAGCAGCACAGTCTGTCTGCTCGTCCTCCTGTACCTGATGGGGCGGAGAGGGACTCCCTGCAGCAGTCAGTCAAACAACAAGGTGAGTTGTGTATTTTGTTTCAATTAATACACACACATGGGACACAGGCAGCTATTTGTGGTGTTGTGACCCACACTTAAAATATTACAGAACACATGCTGACCTCCTGACCTTGGCCTGGCTTAACGACACTGATTTACGGTTAACGATTTTGTTTTGACGCTTGGTTATTTTGTAACGTTATGTGTTGTTAATGTGTCGATTTCGTTGTTTTCATGTGTAACTTGTTGTTACAGGGCATTCCTGAAAAGGAGTGGTTTTAAATAGCACTGAGGTCTCTACCCTGTTTAAATAAAACAGAAATAAATAACTAAATGAATATAGGGAGTAGCAAGACGTATACACATATTGTATAGAGTGACCTAAATTCAATCTAGAAAGCAGCACAATAAAAAATACAGCCAGCCTATAGTATCAGAGTCCATTTCAATAAGTATGGACAGGTATAGTTGCTTGACATTCCAGTTTAGGTGAAGGTCTTCTTGTATCTTTTATGTTCATTGTGATATTAAGATAATTTTAAACCCTTAGAAATCCAAAATTTACAAATTTCTTATGCAAGTAACAGTGGACATTGTACTAAATTAAATGTAATCATGCTAAGTGTATTCAGTAACAGAATTAAATACATTGTACATTGTATGTATTGTATAGTAATTTTTATTACATATTAGTTACTGTAACATGTTACACTGAACTGTTACATGTTCAGTGTCTCCTCAAAAAAGTAAAACAATCTACTTAAAGTGGTAAACATTACTGTGTTGAAGTGACACAAACAGTTTTTACTTCTTTCAGTTTTGAAGAATTGCAGCAATAGAATCATGTTTTGTGACTGATATAATTGACTCCTTACAGTTGAGTTGTTGGAGTATAAGTTGAACCAGGAGAAGACCATGGTGGAAGACCTCCAGTCATCCCTGCTGTCAGAGAGAAAGAGAAATGTAGAGCTGGTGTCTGGGGTGGAGGAGGAGAGGAGACTGGTAGTCTGTCTACAGAATGAGCTGTCTAGTCTTAAGGTGCTGTCAGAGAGTTTACGTGCTGCTCTGGACAGAGAACAGACAAAGTTAGCTTCAGTCAGGTTAGTAACTCAGCTTCTTACATGTATGCTTCCTTTTATAGCATTTTATGCAAATAAAGGTGGCCTCTTGAAATATAATTACAACAAATATTTAAGATTAATGTTTGTATGTCTGTTGTGGTTAGTGGTGCCCTGGAGTCAGAGATGTCCCATGTGAAGTCTTGTAATGTTTGTATGTCTGTTGTGGTTAGTGGTGCCCTGGAGTCCGAGAAGTCCCATGTGAAGTCCTGTAATGTTTGTATGTCTGTTGTGGTTAGTGGTGCCCTGGAGTCAGAGAAGTCCCATGTGAAGTCCTGTAATGTTTGTATTGTCTGTTGTGGTTAGTGGTGCCCTGGAGTCAGAGAAGTCCCATGTGAAGTCCTGTAATGTTTGTATGTCTGTTGTGGTTAGTGGTGCCCTGGAGTCCGAGAAGTCCCATGTGAAGTCCTGTAATGTTTGTATTGTCTGTTGTGGTTAGTGGTGCCCTTGAGTCAGAGAAGCCCCATGTGAAGTCCTGTAATGTTTGTATTGTCTGTTGTGGTTAGAGGTGCCCTGGAGTCAGAGAAGCCCCATGTGAAGTCCTGTAATGTTTGTATGTCTGTTGTGGTTAGTGGTGCCCTGGAGTCAGAGAAGTCCAATGTGACGTCCTGTAATGTTTGTCTGTCTGTTGTGGTTAGTGGTGCCCTGGAGTCAGAGAAGCCCCATGTGAAGTCCTGTAATGTTTGTCTGTTGTGGTTAGTGGTGCCCTGGAGTCAGAGAAGTCCCATGTGAAGTCCTGTAATGTTTGTATGTCTGTTGTGGTTAGTGGTGCCCTGGAGTCAGAGAAGCCCCATGTGAAGTCCTGTAATGTTTGTATTGTTGTGGTTAGTGGTGCCCTGGAGTCAGAGAAGTCCCATGTGAAGTCCTGTAATGTTTGTATGTCTGTTGTGGTTAGAGGTGCCCTGGAGTCCGAGAAGTCCCATGTGAAGTCCTGTAATGTTTGTATGTCTGTTGTGCACGGTTAGTGGTGCCCTGGAGTCAGAGAAGTCCCATGTGAATTCCTGTAATGTTTGTATTGTCTGTTGTGGTTAGTGGTGCCCTGGAGTCAGAGAAGTCCCATGTGAAGTCCTGTAATGTCTGTATGTCTGTTGTGGTTAGTGGTGCCCTGGAGTCAGAGAAGCCCCATGTGAAGTCCTGTAATGTT